ATTATAAACTTATCTGCTCCATTTACATCACTTGTTGTTAATGAAACTTCAATTGGTTCAATTCCCTCTACCTTCATTGATGCACATTTATTCTTAGTATTTGTCTTGTAGAAAGTGTTAGTATAATCACATCCATCAATTAATTCATTTGTACTTGAATAATCCATTTCTTTAAAAATAACCTTCTTTCCACTTGGATGGAATGTAATTTTGTTTGTTCCTGTACTTGTTACTACTTTTTCTACAAAATCTTTAAACATTCCAAAAATAACGTTATAATCATTATTTGTGTTATCTTTTGTACCAGTAGATTGAATTTTAAGACTTTCTGTATATTCTCCATTAATATTAACAACACATGTTGGACAGACATTAATAGTTCCACTATTAACAGTAATTCCTTCTGGCACTGTATATTTACCACTATTACTTAATGTAACAGTCTTAATATTATTTCCACTGTTAATAAATGTTCCTTCTTTATCAACTGTTAATGTTTCAACACTTGTACCATAATATTCTAACTTTACTGAAGAAGAACTTGGACTAAATGTAACAGTCTTAGACTTTGTTCCTTTTAATTTTCCATTAGTAGAAATTGTTATCTTAGACTCTCCTGTTTGAGAGTTAATATCAACACTTGAAAATCCATTAATGGTAACGTCTCCTTTAATCTCGAGATTCATAACACTTAAACTACCTGTTCCAGAAATAGTAGCTCCGCTTGGAAGTGTCAATTTATGTAAAGCAATATTCTCACTTGGGAATGTTATTGGATTTGTTGATCCTGTAAATTCAAGTTCACATTCATATCCAGTAAGACTTTGACATGGACAAACAAGATCAGTTCCTGTTACAAATGTTCCATCTAAAGTACATTTAACAACATTGGAATATGTTTCAGTTATTGGTACAGCTGAGATAATAACTTGTGTAGGTTCTACTAATCGATAAAGATCAGCATCAATCTCTGTTATAACCATTCTTTTTCCTGAGGTTTTTATAGAACGTTTTTCATTAGTAACAGTAGATGTTAATTGTGAAACAGAAAGTTCACAATACTTTCCAACATCAATATCTTTGTTTAAGTAAAGTGTACCAACAACTAATTTAAAATACTGTTGTACAGATTCTACAGCTAAAGAAGTACTTCCTATCATATCCAAATTAATGGTAACATCTTTACTTTGTGGTTTAATAACAGTAGTTCCCTTTCCAACTATTTTCTTTTGATACTTAGAGTTAGCATTGTTAGATAAATCTGAAGTTTGAACAATTATAACTTTCGCCTTTTCATTATTTAATTGAATAATTCCTCCTTTAAAATCATTTACAGTAACATTGATTTCTCCGTTGATAACAACTGTTCCTTCTCCACTAATAGATTTGAATGTAGTTTGACTAGTTACAATAAAATAACACCCAAAACTCATAGTTAATTCAATATCTGTTTGTGAGGCAGAATGTGAGTCTGTTTGAGATTGGTAAGAATTACATGATATAGGAGCAGCAACAATCAGAGTAAATAATGTAAATAAGAAAATGATTAACATAATAAAGTAGTTAGATTTGCTTTGTTGATTATGTAGGAATGGTTCGTTTCAACCTCATTAACTTGTTTATCTATCTTTCTAGAAACTAAGGAATAAAAAGGAAAAAAGAAAAAGGTCGTTTCAAAAGAACCTCCTGTTTACAGTCAATAGATAAAAATGGACGAATGAAAAAAAGGGATTTTGAATTATTTCTTTTCAACTAAACCAGATCTTCTTAATAAAGCAGTAAAATCTGGATTTCTTCCTCTGAAATTTCTATATAGTTCATCAGCAGGTTTTGAATTACCCATTGAAAGAATATTTGTTCTAAATTTACTTGCAATTGACTGATTGAAAATACCATTTTCTTTGAAATATTCAAAAGCGTCAGCACTAATACTTTCAGCCCATTTATAAGAATAATAGCCACATGCATATCCAATAAAATTAGAGAAAAGATGTTGGAAAGTTCTAATGATAGAAAATGTTTTAATATTAAAATGATATTTGTAGTCTTTTTCTTTTTGATAAATAAAATCATCTAACGATAATCCACTTGTTAAATAATTTCTATGAATCTCTAAATCAATTTTACCGAAACTTAATTGTCTTATTGTGTAATATGCAGACATATAATTCTTTGCTTTCCACATTTTATCAAATAACTCTTTTGGTATTGGTTTAACATTTCCAAATTGTGAGAATAGATCTAATGCCTCTCTTTCAAATGTCCAATTTTCCATTATTTGACTTGGTAATTCTACAAAATCCCATGCTACATTTGTACCAGCTAAAGAAGCATAACGTTGTTTACTAAACAAGGTATGCATTAAATGACCACTTTCATGGAATATTGTTTCTACTTCATCATGATTTAATCTTGCAATACCATTAATTGGTGGTGTAATATTAGTGCAAACAATACCTAATGGTTTAATAAAAGTACCATTTTCATTTTCATAACTTACTCTTAACATTTCTTCCCAAGCACCTGAACGTTTTCCTTTTCTTGGATATAAATCAAAATAGACTCCACCAATAACACTACCATCTTTTTCTAGTACTTCATAGTATTTAACATCGTCATGCCACCCTTGAACTTCTTTATTTAATTTAAATGAAACTCCATATAATCTTTTATATATTTCAAATAATCCACCAAAGACAGACTCTTCTGTAAAATATTCTCTAAACTCTTCTTCATTGAAACTATATTTTTCTTGTTTCATCAATTCAATATAATAATTTACATCCCATGGTTCTAATTGATTATTACCAGATTTTTCTTTTTTAAATTCTTTTAACTCATCTTCTTCTTTATAAAAGAAGCTTTGAACTTTATCATGTAATTGATTAATAAATTCAATTGCATTTGTTCCATTTTTAACCATTCTTCTTTTAGTAACTAAATCACTAAAGTCATGAAATCCAAGTAATTCTGCATACTTTTGTCTTTTTTCAATAATTTCTTGAATTAACTTTGTATTATCAAATTGACCTTCACTACATAATTTATTATATTGAATAAATAATTCTTTCCTTAATTCTTCATTCTTACAATATTTAATAGCTGGAAAATAGGATGGTACTTTCAAAGTAATAATATATCCTTCTTTTTTTCTTTCTTCTGCTTCTTTTTTATACATTTCAGTAATATTTTCTGGAATTCCTTCTAATTTACTCTTATCTTCTATATACATCGTGTATTTATCTACTGCATCTATTAAATTATTAGAAAAGTCTTTTGTTAGTCGTGTTATATCTTTCGTTAATTCAACTAACTTTGTTTTATCATCTTTATTTAAATTTGCTCCTCCTTCAATAAAGTCTTCATACTTCTCTTCTACAAGTCTTTTTTGATCATCTTCTAATTTCTCTTTATTTTCATATACCTTCTTAACTAATGAAAACATAACTTCATCACTATGAAGGGCTGCTCTAAATTCTGTTACTTTAGGGAGAATTTCATCATATGCTTTTCGATATTCTTCAATGTCTGATCTACATGATACTAATACTTCTAACTTTAACATAACATTATCTATGACAATTGTTGCATTATCAAATGCTCTCACAACATTCTCAAATGAAACTTCTTCAAATTTAATATTTTTAATTTGATTAATCTGTTCTTGACATTGTTTTATTGCTTCATTAACATCACAAACAACATACTCAGGTTTTAATTTGGTAAAGTTTATAGGAACTGTTTGGTCTAAGAATGGATGTTCCATTTTGGTTGTTTTATTATTTTCTTTTCCAGTTCTTTCAGTGCATGTGTTCGTGTTGCATAATTGTGCCACAACACCATAAATAAAAAGTTCAAAAATCAATAGCATTTATTTCTATAACATTTTTAAGTTTTCTCTAATTTTTTAATTTTTACATTTTTAACAAAAATTCAAGAGTAATGAAAGAAAATCTAAGAAATATTCTTCAATAAAACATACCATTAAATAGTGTTCTAAAATATCATTTTCATTAATTGTTTGATCTGTCAAGACATTTACAAATAATAAAAAGTGAAATAACAAAAATCTTAAAAGTCATTTTTTGTTTTAATAACAATAAACCTGTTTAGAATAAAATTATAATTGTCATAAAACCCAAAACTACTTCTCTTCAAACCTTCTATAACTAACCTTTGATTTGTTTTATACTTTTCTTTGAGAATTACATTCCAGTATTTCCAAAAACAAACAAAAGCTTATGAAATTAACTAAACCACCAAAATAAAAAATTTTTTTATTAACATTTTATTTAAACATAATATTAAACTTTCCTTTTGTTTTTAATGAAAATACAAATGAATTTGAATCATTACTATAATCACCATCAACATCATCAATATTAGAATTAATATATACTCCAAATTTATTTCATTCTGTGTCTTCAATAATAATTAATATATATTCTTTATTCTTTAATTAAATATTAATGTACTAACGAACTTTTTATAATAATTTTTAAAACAACTTTATAATGTAGATGTTTGTTTTTATAATTTGTTTTAAGACTAATAATATTTTTGGCTTTTTGTAAAAGACTTTTTGTATTTTCTCAGAAAAGTATATTTCATAGTTACTTATTAATTTAATTTATCTTAATTAAGATAAATTAAATCAATAACAGAATTGATTCAGATAATCCTCCTTTAGTACATTTAAATTTTTTATTATTTTCTTATTACTTGTTTAATACTACAACCATTTTCTAATTGTTAAAAAAATTAAACAACACTTAAAAATTTTATTTTAATAAGATAATTCATAAGAATAAAACTATTCTCCACTCAAAACTAATAAATTGTGAAATATAATTTTTTTAGAATCACTTATTTTTCATTTGTATCAATTCTCTTAATTTTAAAAAATTAGTTTTTTTAATGTAACTTAAATCTACTAAGAATCTCAAACTCATGAGTATTTCTAGAGAAGAATTTGAAAAGTTGATTGATGAAGGAAAAATTGATAAAGCAGTTGAAGCTTTAAGAAAAAGACAAGAAATAATTAATCAATTTCAAAATAAAACATTACAAAATGAAATTATAACACCACGTTTAACTGAAGATCCAACAATTCCGTTTGTTCATATTATTTTATTTTAAAAAGAATAAATTAATAAGTTAATGTATTACTTCTTATTTAATAAGAAAAGTTCTATAGAAGAAAAAAAGAAAAGAATAAATGATTTTAGACAAAGTCCAATAGAAAAAAGAAATTCAAGAGGAATGTCAGCATTTAGACCTGTTTATTAAATAATATTAATAAATTAATTAAAGATTATTTTAAATACAACTACAAAGGTTAATTTTTATTGTAATAAATAAATTAATATAAAAAAATAAACCAATTCTTTGATACAATAATATATCCCCAAATTCAATTAATGAGCTTTCTTACTGACAGCAATTTTAGCAGCAGCATTAATCTTTCTGTTAATAATGCTGACTTGGAATTTGTCAAAATCAGTCATCTTTTCTCTAAGAATTCTCTTTTCAATTGCTTTACCAGTAGCAGTTTTATTGAATCTTTTAATGATAGCGTCTTGAGTGAATCTGAGGCAAAGTTTCTTGTGGGTCATACCTCTAGTAACTTTGTTAACAACAAATGAGGTAAGAGAAATAGTGTTCAAATTGACAACTTGTCTTGGAACTCCAGTAATAGCTTGTGGACCGTCAACAAGAACTCTATTGTGGTCAAGGATTTCAACAATAACGGCAAGTTTACTGGCGAAAGGTCCAGTCTTCATTAAAACAACACGACCAACTTCAACAAATCTGGAGAAAACCATTGCCAATTAAAGTGTAGTTTAGGGTTTCTTTTTTAGTTCATTCATTTTATTTATCAATAATAATTAATAATAAATTTGTTATAAATTATAATATACCTATTTTTTTTTAATTTGGCAAAAATGAAAAAGATGAGAAAAATAGAAAGAAGTTAAACAAAAAATTGGAAATAAAAGAATAAATTGTCAATATTCAATAATAATAAAATTTATATTAAAAGAAAAAGAAAAAGAAAAAATGATTGAATAAACCAAAAAATACTAGAAACTCCATTATTAATGGAAGAAATCTCTTTTAAAGACACTGTTAAAGAAACCCTTAATAAACTTGTAAACGATCAGTGTACAGAAGAAGATGCATTTTTAAGAATACATGAATCAGCTTGTTTGTTTTATTGTTAAAAATAAATGAAAATTAGTGTTAACAAATAGTCTTACATAACAAAGGAATAATAGAAATTTTTAAAGTACTTTTTGAAAGTGGAAATAAATGTGCATCACTTAAACATTTTAATAACTTATGTCTCCGTTTTCATTTCTTTCAGTCAATATTAAATAAAGTTATTGTCAATAGTGATGGTATAAAAAAAAGTGAAAATGTTTTGGTTCATTTTGTAAAAACAAATTTTATTGATATCCCTTCATTTCAGTCATTAGTTTGTTTTTATAATTTTCTCTTTGAATAGAGATGTAGTTAGGATATTTACATTTTAATTTATTTACTTAACAATAGATTGAAAATACAATTAAACAACCAAAAGATGTTGATAAAATCTTCGAAACTATTATGTTAAGTAAAGATTGTGATGCCATGAAAAAGGTAGATATATTTCATGTCATTTCATCAATTAACGAAAGTATTTCAGTATCTCAAAAAATGGTTTCTTTATTTATTAATTCATTAAATGAAATTAAAGATGAAAATAAAATCACTGAGATTGTTATTAAATCTCAACGATTTTTAACTTCTGATAAACAAGGAAAAGATTTCCTTGCTGTTCATCCAAATATACATAAAAAGGTAATATTTAATATACTCCTTGGATTAAATTCTCCTACTACTTCAATGGCATGTAATACTTTAATAAGTCAAAAGGAATTATTTTATAAATTTGATAAAACACAAAGAATTGAAATATTTTCATTATTTTACAATGATTCAGTAAAACCTGAACTTAAGAAAATAGACCCAAAATCAAAATTAACTTCAGTTATGTCAAACTTTAAAAAAGACAAAGATCAGTTTTTTGAAATGCTTAATAATCGTCCTTTTACTTTAATTGAAGAGGCACTTGAGATTGCTAAATCTTCTCCAAAAGATATTCCAAATTTAACTTCATTATTTATAAAGAGTCCAGTATTATTAAAAATGTATTTAATTAATCGGTTACGTTCAATTTATGAAAAAGAAGGAGATTTAAATGAAAATTGCATTAAATTTACTTTTTCATTATCTCCTATTTGTGACAGTTATTATTTCCAGGATTGTGTTGATTTTATTTTAGAATTACTTACAAAAGATAAGTTATTGGCTCTTCGTGTTATTGAGTCATTGACAATATCCTTAAGAGATTTTGTTGAGATTACAAAAAAAGATTCTGTTTCATTTGTATCGAGTATTGAACCAATTCATTTTTTTGTTAATCAAAAATTAAATGATCAAGAAGATTATCTCATCTCAAAAAAAGGGTTTTGGAACATACTTAAGAAAGAAAAATGTGTTTTTAAGATTGGATTCTTTTTAAGTGAAATGAAGTTGAGATGTCATGAAATGTTTCAATGGAATGAAGATGAGTATGATCAAATTTGTTTAACTATTCAAAAATATTTTGAAATTATTGATTCAGTTCTTTTTACAGAAGAATTAAAAACTTATTTTGTTAATGCTCCATGTGAATTTGATTATTTTATTATGACTCGAGATAATTCTGTTTTCTGGAAAATGGCTAGAATTATTGTTCCATTATGCAGTGATTGGGAACAATGGAAGTCTTTTTCTATTACAAATAATATATCGTTTAGGAAATCTGAATTTATTTCAAAACAAAAAGATATTGTTGCTGAAATCAAAACTCGAGAAAGTGATCTATTCAACACAGTCTTTTGGTTACTTGACCTTGAAGATATTTTTTGTCCTGATAAATTATATAATGATATTTCTGATGAAATAACAAGGCATTATGAAAAAGATATAAAAAGAAATAATATTATACCATTAATTAAAAAACATAAGGAGTGGGTTCGAGGTATGATCAGACAATTAAAACTTACTGACTTTAAAAAAGAAAAACTTTATTACATCCCAAATAAGTTTATGAGTCAATGTTTAATACCTAGAATTAAAATAAGTATAAAAGATGCTATGTATTGTGCCAAATTTATATTACAAATTTTTGAGAATGATATTGAAGGAGTTTCATTAATGTTTTTATTAAATATTGTTGCCATGTATTTAATTGGAAGTTGTGTTACAATGACAACAAAAGAAACATATAATGTAGGAATATTCCTTAACATTTTATTAAAACAATTAAAAGAATGGAATAGTCAAGAGAAATATAATTCAAATGTAAGGGGAAAGAAAGGGTTCAACTCAACTACTATTGTTGAATATTCAGGATTTCAAGTTGTATATAATAAATGGACTGGATTAATCACTAAAGAATTAATTATAATGTTAAGTTCAACAGAAGAATCCAATGTTAATAAGGCTATTAAATTATACAATACAATTTCGTCTTCATTACCTGAAAATATTTTTTTGAAAGGAATGGTTAAAGTATTATCATATAAGAAAGAAAGACAAAATGAAAAGAGTTCACATGATTCTGATAGAAAAGTTTTAGAGGAAAATAAATATTTGTGTAGTTATATGATTCAAAACATTGGTAAATATCAAGTTCAACCAAAAGAAATGAAAGAATTATTAAATGAATTTAAAACTAAAACAGAAGTTAAGAAAGAAAAAGCAATTAAAATCAAAGTTGGAATTATTGATGAAATGAAAAAGAAACGAAATGAATTAATGAAAGAAGTTTGGGAGAAAAAGAAAGAAGAATTAAAAGGAGGTATAGAAAAGATTAAAAAAGAAAGAGAAGAACAAGAAAAGAAAGTATTTGAAATATTAAGTCAAGGGTTAGTTGAAAAAGCTGGAGAAGTAAATAGGACAGATAAAAAAAGTAATAAAGAAGAAGAAATAAAAGAAGATAAGTCAGAAAGAAGAAAACACCATCAACACAGAGATTATTCAAGAAGTGAAAGAAGGCATCATTCAAGAGAAAGAAGAGATAGGTCATATAGTAGAAGTAGAAGCTCAAGTAGAAGAAGAAGAGATACTTCTAAAAAGAATAGCCGTAGTTATAAAGAACGAGAATATCGTAATTAAATTGAGTTTTTTTAATATTTTTATAACCAAAATATTGATATAAAAGAAACTATGTAAATGAATTACCAAATGAATTAATAGTTATCAGGCCAAACTACTTCAAAGAATAAATAAGATAAACCAACAGCTGCAACAAATGATAAAATCATTAAAGGAATACCAAAGATTATAAAGTCTTTAATTTTATAATTTCCTTTTTTCATGATCATCAATGTTTTATTGGAACCAAATGGTAGTAAAAATACACTAGATGTGGCTATCATCACTGCATACATTGAACTTTTTAGTCCAATTACTCTGCCTCGTTCTAGTCCAGTTGGATCAGTTCCCCAATAAGTTTCCCAAACAACAGGGAACATTAATGCAAATACTGCAGCGTTACTTAATGACTGAGTGAGTAACATTGTTGGAATAACTAATGCAGAAAGAATACCAAATTTACCAAGAGGTAAGAAAGCTCTTGTTAGTGAACGAGCTAACAATGCTCCAACATTAGTTTTTACCATTCCTTCAACTAACCCAAATGAAGCACCAAGAATACAGATTAATGGGACATCTACTGCTTTAAATAAATCTTTAATTGTAATAGTATTAGTTACTAATAAAATAAATACAAAAACAAATGCTGCAACAACAAAAGGAGCAGCGTTTAATACATCAGTAATAACTGGAATAGCAATAGCTAAAAGTGCTAAAATAGTTTTATAAATAACCATTGGTTGTGGTAGTTGAACATTTAATGGTAATACTAATTGGAATGGAGAAGGGAAATATTCTTCAGTTGCAAATTCTGAATCTGTACAAATTAAATAACTTAAAGTTGGTTGTATTTTTTGTTCATTAATTTCATCTTTAAACATTTCATTTATTTTCTCTTCTTCTTCATTTTCTTCTGCTTCTTCCATTAATTCATCATTTTCATTAATTCCTTCAAGAGCATCTTCATTACTATTATATGAAACACCTAATATCCCAAAGAAATGATTCTTATAAAATGTTTGAAATTTTTTATTTAACATTTCTGAATTTCCACCATAACAAACTTCATAAACTTTTAATTCTCTATTAGTACTCATCATTTCTTTAGCAAAACTACTTTCAGGGATAATTCCACTATATGCATAAACATCATTTAAAAGTTCATATGGAGCAAGATAATATAAAATATCACCTTCTTGAAGAATATCAGTTGGTTTTGGTTTAAAGATAGTTCCTCGTTTAATTCTGAATAATTTACCATGAGAAGGGAAGAATAAAACAGTATCTTTTAACTGCTTATTAATGTGACTACTTTTTGGACCAATCTTAACTGGAATAATAAATTCTGAATGATTTTTTGGTGGTTCTTCAATTTCTGTCTTTGGAACTAAAAAGGAACAAAAGGCACAATAAAGAAATCCAACAACTGTCAATGGAAAAGCAACAATTCCTATTTCAAACATTGGTACAGTAACTTGCATATTTAAATTATATTTTGAATTAACAATATCAACTTGATTTAAAATTAATCCTTTAGCAACAAGGTTTGTAGAAGTTCCAAGAATACTATTCATTCCAGCATATTGAATAGCATAACACATTGGTAATAATAATTTAGATGCTGGTTGTGTTGATGTTTTAGTCCATGCAAATAT